CCAAAATATGTAATAGTAAATCAAGAAAAGAGTTTAACTAAACAGAGCAATGACATCCAGCACACTGCCCCGCACCCTCCTCACCTGTCACTGTATAAACACATGAAACCAGACAAACTGTGACAAGATAAGCATGAGGGAAGGTCATGTTAGAACTAAAGCACATGGATTGTGCCCAGATTCCACACTGATGAACACCTGGAGCCAATTCCGTCACCATCAATATACCAGCTGTACTAGCTTCCTCTACAAAGTCAGCCATTTAGGTACCAAATGTAAAGTTCTATTTCGCTTCTCGTTTGCTGTGATGAACATAAACACCACGATCAAAACCAATCTGGGGAGGACAGGGTTTATTTGACTCATCATCGAGTGAAGGAGGCCAAGGTAGGAACTCAAGGCAGGAATATGGAGGCAGAGACTGAAGCCTCCCCCATGGCTTGTTCAGCTACCTTCCTCACACAACCCAGGACCACTTGTGGGTGCTGATAACAGTAGGGTGGGGCCTTTTACATCAATGAGCAACTAAGGAGATGCTGCACAGACAGCCCCAACTGGTGGAGACAATTCCTGTCTGAGGTTCCCTCTTCCAGGGTTTACCAAGTGGACAACGGAAGCTAACTATGGCAATCACTGGGCAGAAATAAACCCCTTGCCATTCTAGACACATGAATACAAAGGGAAACTTTGTGGTATAAAACAAATATTAAGCCTACTCTTTGAATAATAAATTAACCAGAACAAGTCTAGCCTAAAAGAATAAACTATGTATCACCAGTTGAGCCACCTCTGAACAATGACACTAGTCTGGGGACAGCCGCTTCTCCACATGTGAATTTTATTTAGGCTTTAAATTTACACAAAGAAATCTTAACTATACTGTGTACTTAAAACTTAGCCTAAAGAGGGACAGCCCTCACTGACAGTCGGTGTCTGCCAGGAGAGGAAGAGTCAGTTTTCTTTAGGGTGTGGCAACTGGTAGGTACACTATGCCCCAGTGAATGGCCTCACATCTGTAAATACTGGTAGCACAAATTGGACTTGGTGAGGTATTAAAAGAATAAAGAGCACTGAAGTTGTCGGGGGAGGTGGTTGGTAGACATGGGGAGAGTTGGGATGAGTGGAGGGGTGAATATGACCAAAACACACTTACTTGACACACACACAGAATTAATAAAATATATTTTAAAACAAATTCATTACGGTATTTATGATTCAAAAAGAAAGTCAGCTCTTAGAACAGGGTGCATCCTTATACAAGGAGTGGACATTCACAGTAGGGTGTATCCTTATACAGGGAGTGGACATTCACAGTAGGGTGCATCCTTACACAGGGAGTGGACATTCCCAGTAGGGTGCATCCTTACACAGGGGGTGGACATTCCCAGTAGGGTGCATCCTTACACAGGGAGTGGACATTCCCAGTAGGGTGCATCCTTACACAGGGGGTGGACATTCCCAGTAGGGTGCATCCTTAAACAGGGGGTGGACATTCCCAGTAGGGTGCATCCTTACACAGGGGGTGGACATTCCCAGTAGGGTGTATCCTTATACAGGGAGTGGACATTCACAGTAGGGTGTATCCTTACACAGGGGGTGGACATTCACTGTAGGGTGCATCCTTATACAGGGAGTGGACATTCACAGTAAGGTGCATCCTTATACAGGGAGTGACATTCACAGTAGGGTGCATCCTTACTCAGGGAGTGGACATTCACAGTAAGGTGCATCCTTAAACAGGGAGTGGACATTCACAGTAGGGTGCATCCTTACACAGGAAGTAGACATTCACAGTAGGGTGCATCCTTACACAGGAGTGGACATTCACTGTGGGGTGCATCCTTACACAGGGAGTGGACATTCCCAGTAGGGTGCATCCTTACACAGGGGGTGGACATTCCCAGTAGGGTGCATCCTTAAACAGGGGGTGGACATTCCCAGTAGGGTGCATCCTTACACAGGGGGTGGACATTCCCAGTAGGGTGTATCCTTATACAAGGAGTGGACATTCACAGTAGGGTGCATCCTTACACAGGGGGTGGACATTCACTGTAGGGTGCATCCTTATACAGGGAGTGGACATTCACAGTAGGGTGCATCCTTACACAGGGAGTGGACATTCACAGTAGGGTGCATCCTTACACAGGGGGTGGACATCGCAGTAGGGTGCATCCTTACACAGGGGGTGGACATTCCCAGTAGGGTGCATCCTTACACAGGGAGTGGACATTCACAGTAGGGTGCATCCTTACACAGGGGGTGGACATTCACAGTAGGCCTAAAAGCATCAACAGCTAAGGATGAATACAAGTGCAACAAACAAGATTTTCCTTTTTAAAGATTTACCTTTATTTTCAATTATATGTGCACATGTGTCCTTATATGCACATATAGGAGGGTGCCCACAGAAGTGAGAAGGCAATGGATCCCATGGAGCTGAAGTTACAGGAGGTCGTGAACTTCCTCAAGTAGGGTCCTGGGAACCAAACTTGGATCTTCTTAGAGCACAGTATGTGTTCTTAACCACTGAGCTCCCTAAACATCTTTATCTAACACTGATCTCCTAAGGAATAAAACTGAATTATTTTCAACAAACACTGCTACTATTAGTCAAAATAAATTATTCTGTACCTAAGTGTACATGGGAATCAATAAGCATTAATAGTAAATAGCTGTATAGACAAACTTGGCAATCAAACTTCAATTTTATTGTTAACCCCACACTGACATGCAGATAGGGAAAGATGAAAAGACTATTAAAAATGTGCCAGGCAAGAACCATCAAAAACACACCTCTTGCATGATCTATGCAGTGACACGTTTAATGGCTGAAATAGCCTCACAATGCAAAGAATTATGGTTTGCTCCTTAATTAGAAACAAAATGACTAGTTAACTGTGTCAGTCCAACCTGAAATTATTTCCCTACTAAGAGGGTGGGGAAAAATACCCAAGAAAAGCCTGTGCAGCTTTGACTTAATCCACTGTTATTACTCTCCTAAAATGATCAACAGACTCTCTCAATGGAGCAGCAACTTAGGGGACTAAGGAAACTAGAATTACCTCTAAATATTCTTAGGCTAATAAACCGAAGTAATTAGCTTATCAATTATTGATCCAAAATATTTTTAAAATGGACCAACTTACCTGAGGGAGGAAAGTACA